TACTTCTTTGGTACTCCTTTCAGTGACAAACACTGCCATAGAACCTCACGATCAACAGAGTCGAATGCTGCTTTAAGGTCGAAAAATACTACCATTGTGGGGCGTCTGAATGTGTGTCTGTGTTCTAGAACCTGACGTAGTGTGAACATTTGGTCTATACAACCACGTCCAGGTCGAAAACCAGCCTGATTTTCTCTAGTCTGCTCTTCACGAGCTTTGATTAGGCGTCGAAGTATTATTGAAGCTAATATTTTAGACACTATATTAGTCAAACTGATTCCTCTGTGATGTGTCACAAGAGGACTTTTGTCCTTTCTTAAAAACTGGCACAATCAGTGATTGAGACCAGTCAGATGGGATTACGTCCAGTTCCCAAATTCTACCTAAGACCTCGGTTAATCTCATTGCTAATACTGGACCACTATCCTTAAAAATCTCAGGAGTAAACCTGTCAGGGCCTGCTGCTCTCCCTCGTTTCAGATTTCCTATAGCTTTTTCAACTTCGTAAAGGGACGGAGGACTTACATTAACTTGCCATTCAGGTTGACTAGAGATTGTGGGAAACCGAAGTGTGGCTGAAGGCCAGTTTAACTGATCCCTAAAGTGTTCTGCTCATCGATCCAATCTCCTGGATTGAGAATGAATAATATGACCATCTTTCTCTGAGATTGTTTCGCTAACGGTCGGGTTCCTAATTCCGGTTTCCTTAACGAGTCTAAACAATTGTCTGCTATTACCTATTGCCGCTGCCTTTTCCATCTCTCTTGCTTTCGCTACCCACCACTGTTCGCGATCATTGCGTAGACTTCTTGTCAGCTTGCGCTTAAGCTGACTCCGCTCTTCATTATATTCAGAGCCAGGTGGAATGTGTTCCTGAAATATACTCTTAGCTTGACTATCATTAAGTAGGCCCCTAAGAGGTTTCCTTGCAGGATCTTTCCTACTTCCAGTAAGACGCAAGCAAATACGCGCTCGCACTAGAGCATGATCTGAATCTAGGCATGTGCTCCAGAATGAGCGACAGTCTTCTATCGAGCCCCTCCATCGGTGGCTGATAGCGATGTGATCTATTTGGGTCCAACGTTGGGACGAATTAGGGGGTCGCCATGTTAAAAGATGTTTTTCCTTATGCTTAAAGTTAGTATTTGCAAGGAACAGGCGGTTATCTGAGCATAGCTGCAACAGACGGTCGCCATTATCTGTTCTTTGAGTCACGACACCATAGGATCCACCTAGGTGTCTTTCCTTATCGCTTAGTTTACCTACTTGAGCATTAAAGTCACCGGCCACTATTACTACATCCGAGCGCTTAGCTTTTCGGAGAAGGTCCGAAAGCTTTCTGTAAAACTCATCTTTTACATCATCTGAGCTGCAGTCAGTGGGAGAATAGGCAGAGACGACGAAGAGGCAACGACGAGTGTCTCTATCTTTCCGGATTCTTACTGTTCCGTTCAGTCGGACAGCGCACAAACGACTGTTTACTGGGATCCACTCTAAGAGAGCTAGTTCTGCCCTAGGACTCAATGCTATACCTACGCCGGCGAGGCCACGGGAAGCAGAATCAGGGCTTCCAGATACACGAAGCGTAAATTGAGTCGGTTCTTTATTTTGGCATGGTGAGGTCAAATGAATGACGCTACTTGGATCCTGTATGCGCTTTTCGGAGACGCAGCACACATCGATGGCGCGAGATTCTAAAGTTTTAGCTAAGGAAGCCTGCTGTCCTATTTGGCAAAGTGTTCGTACGTTAAAAGCTCCTACGTGTAGTTTAGAGCGTGGTTTCAGGAGACCAGGAATGGCGTTCCACGTACTCGAATCGTTTGCCCTAGCGGTGCGAGGTGATAATGAGACGTGAGGAGGGTTACTGGGGAGGATAAGAGAGGTATTAGGAGGTGTAGGAAGGATTTGAATGTGACTCATATTGATCACATCGTGATCAGCTACCGCTGGCGTGGTTGTGTACAGTACTTCCACTCATTCTGAAATACTTATCTAGACTCTGATCACGCCTTTGTTTACGCTAATCTTATCTTACGTTTCAGTAGCGAACAAATTCATCTCCCTAAACAGATCTATTTCGTCAAATTGTGGTTAGTCAAAGTTGCTCAGTCTCACCATTCCTTTCTAAATTTGTCATCGATGACATTTTAGAAATAGCTCTGACGGATCCAGATGGTAGTGTGGATCTGTTGTCTAGGAAGACACTTCTATCTTGAGTATGTGGATGATATTGTCTTGCTATACGATGATACCCAAGCCATGTAATCTGCAATTAATCAGTGTTCATAGTTATGGCATGTGCTTTGCACCTAAGCAGAAAGTACTTTTGCAAGACTAATAAAACTCTGGACCTTCGCTCACTCTTGGTAGTGATTAGATAGAAGTAGCTGGAAAATCCGTGTATCTGGGTAGCTGTGTAAGTGCTGGTGGTGTCAAGAATAATGAGATCAATTCGTGTATAGTGAGAGCCAGAGCGGCTTTGGAGTCTTCACAAAGTTGGTCTGGCTGTAAAAGGTTGGATTTACAATGCGTCAGGGAGAGCAATTTTCCTCTGTGCTTGTGAAACCTAGTTTTCCGAACTGAGGACACCAGATAACTCAGTGTTTGGTCGTCCTTGTCCACGACGGACTCCTGGATTCCAGTGACAACACGTTAGTAATACAGAGTTTCGCAATGTGTATCCGGGAACGACGACGATAATTCAATTAGTTTTGCTACTTTGAAATACCGATTTCGATGGTTTGAATATGTCTTGCGAAGCTCGTTTTAGCAGATTCTACGTCGTGCATTATTTGCCGATGCTGAGACTGGTTCGGAAAAGAGAGGTGATCGGTACTTGACATAGTTCCGTGGTTTGAAAGACAGCTGTTTAAGATTGGCTTCTGTTGATCATTCACGACTTCCTAGTTACGGTCGTATAAGATGGTACAACACACTGGCTAAGAATGGAAGCTAGTGGTGATCCTGCTATAAATTTCTTCATAAAAGTTAGAGTAACTTCTTTAACTGAGAGAATTCGTTCTGGTTGTATTTTTTCCAAGTGAACTGCTTCTTCCATTAATTATTATTATTATTCCACTCTCACACACTTTTCTGTTCGTTGTTCCTTTTTATTATATTCCCTTTCCTTTCTCTATCTTTTCACAACCTCAATTTTATTTTGTAGCGCATATATATTTGGCCCCCCTTCGTACCAATCTTTATATCTTCACATAAATAAAAGGTGAATTGACATTGACCTTCTAATATAGCAAAGCTGAAGGCATTATCGTTAACTTGAAACAAATGGGAACAGATGGTTAATATTGGTCCACTTATCAAACTTACGGAGATAGTAGTTTGTTTTTGGGAGATGGATCTTGTTTTAATGGCCAATTTTCTTAAAGAATTCGCTATGTTGAAAATAACAGAAGTTTGCTCGTCTTATTCTTGGTAGGATTATTGTTTTAATCCCAAATAGAGAAGGATATGGAAAAAAACACAGAATATGGAATCATTCAACTCAGAGTGTGAAATTGGTTATTTAATTGCTTCATTATCCTTGTTTTTTAATATAGAGTTCGGTTTAATGGTTAGAGTAAAATTATATTTTTTTACATCTATGGAGATTTAATTGTCTCAGTTGTGTGAGTAGCATACTCTGCAAACTTAAACGTCTTCCACGTTAATCACAGGTGACGTCGAATGAGAAACACTGCTTTCTGTTAAAGTCAGTGAACTGATAGCTAATCTGTATGTAACCGTTCGTGTAGGAGAAAAAAGTTACAGTTCCGTAGTTTTCTGATATTGTCATACGTGATAAAAGACTCTGATCACTTGATATAAGCATGGGCGAAAATCGTGAAGCTTTGTGCCTCGACTGATTATACGATATTTTAAGCTGTTGAAAGTAACGGTAAAGTTTTGTAATTGATGGGGTCAAGAACAAAATTGGGATTATCAATGGACTACACACAGATTCTGGAACGAAAGAGGACTAGTCACATCGAAATACAGAAAGAATATTATATATAATGGGTTCCATATATCATTCCAAACGGATAACTGGGCCCTTCTGAATATTAAGAAATCAACTTCTTAAGTACTCCTTGCAAAATTCCTGTGTCTTATAAGACTGGTTTCTTCACATGGGTTCTTTTTCTGTGGAAACTCAAAGTAGCTATGTATTATGTGTTCACGTTGATATAAACCAGACAGGATGTAGAATCTATATGAAAATATGTCTAAGCACATTTATCCAGAATTACAGACTAGGTTCTCAATTTGCGCTTTACTAAATCTCAAGGACAAACATTTAATCTCCACTTTGAGGCACCTACAACTACACAGAATACGTTTTATCACTTTAAATTATATATAAAAACCGGGACTTAATTTCTTGACAGATATTTACCTAAATGTATTTCGAGCGTAGAAGCAAATACTTGTGTATGCCATGGCCTTAGTTTTATCGATACTTATTTTCCTTAAATTATGTGACGGTTTTTAATCTTTATGGCTCATAAATTATTGTTCCCTTAGTTCATTATATGATAATATTCTCATTCGGATATCCATATTTTCTTGTCCTACCGTCTTTCACAATGACCTTTATTCGCCTACTTAAGAAAAATAATCGTACCATGGTTTTCCACCATTTAGTTGTCCTTGACCTTTAACCATTTTTGGCTTTCTATATTCTCTAACCTGTCTGAAATTTTAAAGGCTAATAAGGAAATCTAAACAAATGAATAATGAGAAAGGGGTTTTGTGGAGATAGCAGTAATTTAATAGTTGAGTTTATTAGTCGATTAAAGCTAGATCACCACGGTAAACCTGCAAGCACTGGGCGGCCGTTTCGTCCCAGGGCTCCTCGGTAGTGCACATTCACGATCCTGTTCGCGGCATAGACTCATGAATTCAAGTATTAAATTACTACAATCTCCACAACCTTTTTTCTGATAATAACCATCATGTACTCACTAGTGACTGGCTTCAAAATGTATTTCCCGGAGTTTTACTGAGAAGCCGTGACCAGTGGATTGATTGAAGCTAGACATTAGCACCGTTGGATGCCAGTCGGCTCAGTGGTCTAGATGTTAGGCGCCCGCGCGTGTGATCGAAGGTCGTAGGTTTGAATCTCGAGTGCGACATCGTGGGTGTGCGCTGCTAAGGAGTCCCATGTTGGGACAAAACGACCATCCAGTGGTTCCAGGTTTTTCATGGTGATCTAGTTTTAATGGACTCATGAATTTAACTGTTAAATGAATAATCACTGTAATATTTTACTAAGGATTACAATACTAAGATGTACAATATAAACGATAACTTTGGATTAATATGGACACATAACATTGAAGGTTGTATTACGTTTACAAGCTGTGCGTATTTGGAAAATTGTGTAAGGCTAGTGAGAATTTAAAGTATGTTGAGAATTGTGTTAAGTTATGCTAAAAGTTCTGACAGTTATGTTTTTTTTATTAACGCGTGTAATATTAATTTACTTCATGAATACTTGTAAATCAGATATTTCGTTAGACCGATCATTTGATTCTTATTTGAAGGTTTGTAAATGATGCTTACAAAAATAAAGAGTTGGGGTTTTGTTTAATTAATTTTGGAATTCGTTGTGTACCCACCTTAATCCACTGAGATCGGAGTACTGATTTCTAGGGCAGTCTAGTCACTTTATATCCATTGATATGGATTTATGATTTTAGCGTTCGTTATTATCACCTAGTATCATCAGAATTCAAACTCTCCTAATAAGAGTTGGTCAGGTTGATAGTTTCATGTGTGAGCTAAAAAACTTATTACTAGTACATTCTACTATTTAGGGATAGCTTACTGAGTGACCGAATGGTTTTAAAGATTTCATTTCAGAATTTAAACAAGAAGCTCATAATTTTCTTAATAGTGATAGATCTTAGGTAGGGACAATGACGAAACAGAGTAATGAAGAATTTTTGATGACGATAATGACGCCTTAATTCTAAGTGATCATGAATCAAAAATTTCTTTGGGAGTAATATTTTAATTTCATCTTCAAAGGATAACATAAAAAAAGCTTGTACGAATTTGCAGAATAAAGAAGAGCGCACTAATGACACTAGAAGTGATGGTGATACATATTTAGTGTAGTTATCTAGCTTCTTGCCTAAATGCCCAATTTTTAAAAGGCGTTATTTCTTTGGTTAACTTAACTGCTTTGTAGCTATGAATTCACACCAAAAAATGGCCTTTCCAAAGATTCTTGTTATGAGTATTCTGTAATATTTCCGACTAATTTAACTGCTACATTTTCATCTAAAACTGAGAATCAATATAGGTTAGTAGCTTGTTTAATATACATGATCTGTTAGGAATAGTCTGATTAAGTATTAAATTTCACTCTCATAGTTTTCCTCATTCATAGAATATTAGGAATATTCTCAGTTTGTTTTGAAAAGTCACTGTTTGTCCGTTGATAGTTTCCTACAGTTCATTTACGAAATACTTGCCTGGAACCACATATTCTTCGTCAAATTTGTCGTTCATTTGTGGACAAAATTGTCAAACAATTACCTTGAGAGTTTCTTCGTACATAGCAACTGTGACTTCAGTCCCTGAATTCCGACTCCTATTTATGCAGATAAGATTTTGTTAGATGCACTTATTTAGTTTAAAAAGAACGTAATCCAAGACGTTTCATATTAAGTTGAGTCTCATACCTTTTGCACAAGTCAGTGGATTTTCGGACTCAGTAGCTAAGTGGATGGAGTGATAAAGTTTGGAGTGAGATGTACCGGGTTCGAGTTTCGGAATGAACGTCAACCTGCTTTATCCAGCTGAGGAGTCCCGAATAAGACGAAGCGTGCGTCCTGGATGCAATTACTAACCACATTCAATCTATCTTTTCCATATTAAAAGAACAACACGTTCAATATAACGCGCTTATACTGTTGTGTTAGGAAATTTCGCAACAAATGGTGTGTACAGAATCTGTTTAATTTCTAACAAACTATTTAATTTAGATAACTGGTTTAGTATCGTGAAGAGTTCTGAAAATTTAGTTTTTAGTATCTATTACTTGAAAGTACTATCTCTTTCTGTAAACAAATCATCTAGTGTATAGGTTATTTAAGTTGTGTATACTTACGAGAGAAATGACGAAATTAAACGCCGAAAATTTCATAATAGGTATTTTATTATGGTATTATTACAATTAATTCTGTGTTAATATTATTATTCACTTTTTCTTAACTATACGGTTAGTCGAATAGAATTGAGAAACGAGTCTTGTCTTTCATTATTTCTACATTTCGCTTACATTGTCAGTATGTGTACTTTCTTGTCCAGACCACCTGGGCTCAATTTGGTAATGGTTATTCCAAATTTGATTTACTTACAATACTCAGTAATATTTCTAAATGAGACATGATGTTAAAGGCAAAGTAACGATAATAAGATGACGTCACTGTTTAAATACATAAACGATGCACGTTTCATTTTTTTAGGACTTAAACACACAATAACTAATAAAACGAAAATTGAATAAATAAGTACTATGTTTTCCACAATTATAAAAATACATAGTGAGAATTAAGAAGAAAAAGAATCATAGATTAAGTTCATGCAACCTATTGGAATTTATTTCCTGCAATAAAAAAATCCATACGATGTTACCGCTGTACGAATAAGCATTTATTCTGTAACTAAGAAGAACACTTTCAATTAACAAACAAGTAATACCTTTTTTTTTAAAATAAACAAATATCATTACCAAAAGAAAATTATGTCGATGTTTATTTATGTAGAAAAACACTTTAACAATCATTAGTTATGAATTAAGATCAATACATTCATATATGAACATGTATTTTTTTTTAGCTCAATTTTAATTAGAAACAATACATTATGAAATATGTAAATAACATGATAATAAAGATATTCATTTATTCATCAAGAAGTTTTTTCATACATTTTTCTTTTTCACATTTTACTTTTTTCCATGATTCTGCACTTGATTTCAATATTCTAAAATAATGATAAAAGAGATATTCAGTAGAAAGAATTCTTTACGTTATTTCATTCAGACAGATAAATAAAAAGTAAATGTTAATGAATATGATATTGAGATGCTGATTTGTTTTTGTTCTTTTTTTAGATTAATTTATCAAACAAAACGAAATAATTTTTTAAACTCTTTCTTATCAATAAAAATGAAGGGATGAATTAAGCTATGACTGTTTATTATTTTATTTCTGAGACAACTTTTAATGATAACAAATTCTTATTATTAAGGATGGAAAAAATTCATGATTGGTAAATTTGTAATCAGGAGTCAACTGATTATCGATTCTTAAGTCGTTTCTATTGCAAATTGCATAAAATTCTACTTGTATATACAAGAAAAATTTCAACTTCTGAAATACATATTAGATGGAAGCTAGTGTACAGAAAATTCTGTAAGTCATTCATTAATATCTCAATCTAAATAAGAAACATTTAAAAGATCTCAATGAATGGGTGCAGAGTATGAATACATTGGTAGCTACATAAGTTTCCATATGTTTAAATAATGAAAGCACAAACAAGAGTAGTGTATTCTTAAAAGGTTGATCAGTAATTTAGAATTTGCTTTGTAATGCAACTATGTGAATGTGAGATTTAGGTCGTAAATGTGAGTTTATAGTGATGCAAGTGGATAACAAATTATTCAGGCTTGTTAACTAGGAAAATGGAAAGGTAACTTTCTAAATGCTTTAAAATTAAAAGTAATCTACGATATCCACGCTTAAGTGTCTCTCTGATTAACCATTTATCATAATATTCTTCGTATAGATCCGATAGTTATTTAAAACAATAAATATAAAACATTATGCGATTCCGCACTATAACATTAAAGAGCATATACAATTAAGATAAAATTTCTCTGAAGGTTTTATTGTATTTGACGAAGCATAAATAACACCACTGTATGGATTTGTGTTGAAAACTGTACACAGATTTAAACATATTCTACTCTTAAGAGCTATCCAGGTTATTTGTAACACTTATGTTTGGACTTCATACAAGGTTAAATTTACAAACATTTTAACTATACATGATTAATTGGTCGTGTTAAATAAATTCCATGTTTGTCACTACACACCAGTTTGTTAAGTGAACGCTCTGATATACTTTGTATAAACAATAACACAATAAAATGAGTAAAATTTAATATCAATATGAAGATCAATTAAGAAAATTTCTCAAGAACCGGAACATTTTTAAGTGACCCAAACCAATTGATTGTTCAATGTCGATCGTTATAATAAACAAGAGTGAATATTTTTAGTAACATTTAGGTCTAGTCTACAATCGATATTCGTCTAAACCTATACTGTACTGTACTGTACTGTACTAGATGCTGATAATCCTCTAGTATCGATTTGTAACATTATCAATAGAAGCTTGCATAAGTACAATACAAAGTTTGGTGAAATTTATCTGCAAATGAATAGAACGAATTTGTCTTATTATAAGTATTTGTGTTACAGTTTTTTTTACATTTATTCTTAAGTAAATATTGACAAGAGCTATTATCTACTAAAAAGGATTTTAGTTCATTAATGAACAATCATTTTTCTTGTACCTTACAAAATATTCTCAAATTAAGTGAAAGTAACAAAAGCGATCGAAAAGTTTTTTTTTGGAAAAAAACATTTTATATAGTACAAAAATTAAAAAAAAAATAAACAAAGATTGGAAATGTTCACATTGTGATTTGAATCAGACCAATATTATTTTTATTAGTTGACTTACTGAACACTATATTGAATAGTCAACTCATATGTATTATTTTTCTTGAAGATTGGTCATTTTGTTACTTAAAAATGTAACCTATTTGAGTCAATCATCATAAACAATATTTATAATATGATATATATATATATATTATTTAAATTTTGGAATAAAAAAATATAGTTAATTTTGAAATGTAATAAATAAAGTATGCAGAATCTATTACTGCTATAGTTACTTTGTTGTTTTGAACTTTTGGAAAAGTTGAGTTATACTAAACATATAAATACATAGTTAAGGAGTAATAAAAAGTGAAGCAAATCGGAGTAATATTTCGCTGTGTTAATTAACGAAAAATGTTATCAAGTTTTCCGAGTAATATGGTGAATAATAACGCATAAGTTTGCGAAAGCTTACTTGAAAACATCTTTAAAGGCTATTCCAATCGGCTTAACGCGATAGGGAAGGTTATACTTTTCACATAAAGCTTTTACATAAGGCCTTACTAGATGATAATTATGTCTTGGCATAGTTGGAAATAGGCTGAAATGAGAAGAAAACGGCATAATTTCATTAAGTTAGTAAGGTATCATGGTATACTGTCAAGTGTTTTAAGCTTCACGTAGTGAAAAATGACCATCTTATAGTACATGCAGATCACAAATTCAATCTAATAGATGTCGAACTACATTTTCTATCTTGATTTTGTGTTATTGGATAGAATCGATCGAGAAAATCGCACCTAATTTTTAACTTTGATTAAGCTATTGAATAAGAAATATCTGTTTGAATATTTTGTTGGCTCAGGTCTTTAATTAGGTTCAATTTCGATAGTGAAATATATTCTACTAACTACATTATTTTTGAAGTGTTTTAGTCAAATTCTATCTAAAAACCTATTTTAGTGCTTACTTTCTAAACATGTATGCGAGAAATGGACTGATCAACGTTATTTCATTGTTGAAAACAACTTGAATTGTTCTGCTGTTGATATACTTGACTAAATTTTGATCAGTTGTTGTTGGCATACGTGCATCCTGTGCGAATCGCTTCCATATAGTCATTTTATCATAAGCTTCCATAGTCGATAGATTGTTACTAGTAGTGGAATCATAGTATGGTAATGGATAATGATCAATATCAATTGGAATTTACTATTATTGAGAAAAGTTAATGTTTATTCTTCATGACCTTACTACTTATTTTTAAGCGTAATATTTTAATTTTTAAAATTCACTAATATCTATGCAGTTAACTCGATTTAAAGTTAGAAACCAAAGTTCATGTCTTTACATAAACAATGTGAACAACTAAATTTCATCCTGTTGAGTTTATCAGTTTGCACTTAAGTGAATGCATTTTATTCAACCAGAGTGATTATCACTTACATACAGAGCTTGTCAACGAGAGGTATCTCAAACGATAAAAATTAGTAATTTTAAGAGCATCAGGAAGAAATAAATATAAATAAAATATAAAGATTGAGAAGTGACAATTTAACTTACTGATGTTCTATCTGGAAATTCAAATGTCCTGTAAACCAGTCATTGAATAGTGAATTTTCAACATTGCATGTTCCATTTAGCTGTAAACGAAACCATGGTTCAGCTCGATCATAATCTACTGGCATAGCCAAATGGTTTGACTGACTAACCCAAGTGAACCAGTGACTTTCTATGACTCTAGAAATCGAAATGTGTGGAAAAGAAGCAGGTTTACCTTAAATCGATCACTGAAATAATGCATTTAATACCGTTACAGTTCAGTTTGCATTGCTAAATAAATCAATGACAACTTCGAAAGGATTATTAGCAAATGATCGTAAGGTAATATCTAATAAAGGAAGGAAAAGTATCAGGCACTTTGTAGCCACGACGAAAATTATACGTACACTATTCTTGACCATAATAATGTTTACGAAAAGACAAAATAAATCAGTTAATCCGATACATCACTCTGAATTCAGGTTGGTTGAATTTCAAATAAATAGTTTATGTATCGATGATCTTTCAATCGAATATGAGAGAATATCTAGTTTATAATCAGGCAATACACTAACAAAAACTCTGTATTCTGGTAAGCAAATAAAATAAACATGACCTAACAAACTGGTGTAGTACGTGCACAAAAATTTGTTGTGACATTCTGTCATTTAGATATTAAGTGACATTGTGAACATTATTAAGTGAAAACTATTAGCTCAGTTTAATTTGAAGCTATGATTTATGAAAAGCGTAGATTAACTTGGTTTAACCTTAACATAGATAGTTCGTAATAATTTTAGTCTAGGAAGTAACATAATCAATTAGCATAATTTAACGTCTTTTAAAAAAAAATATTTTAATCCCAATTAATGAATCAGTTGTTCACTCTAACTACAATCAAATCTTACTTTTCGGTTTTATTTGTTCTTGTGGTGTTAGTTAACTGTAAATAATTTACACAGTTAATATTATATTACAAAACAATAGTCGTGTTTAAAACGATAATAAAGTGGAGACAACACGAAACAAAAGTTTACGTTAAAGTAAATAAATGTAGCATTAGTGTGAAACTATTTTAAAACTCATGTTTTAGATGATTTATGTGAAACTAGATACATTTAGTATTTGTGAAACAAATGCAACATGATCGATAGCATTCGATCTGCACTAATAAGGACTAGACAAGCATGAGATTGATCACCACCCAGTGATCAATCAATTGTGATTACATCTCAGTCCTACAGGAGGTCAGTCACGGCTCGGATAGCTCAGTGGTAACGTCTCTGACTGTGAAGCTGGGTGACACGAGATCGAATCCGCCAGGGAGCACCAGTTCCCTCAAGATTACAGGTACACCTTGCTGACGAGTGCCAAGTAGCACGAAACCCGGGTCCAGGATTTCACTTAACTTGTGGAAGTAATATTAGGGAACCTATCAACTTTAGCAGATGCACAGCTATCAGAAACTAAGTCATTTCCTGAATTTTGAGAGATGGTGCATTGCAAACACTATCTGACATAAGCACAACTGATAAAACCGAATATAAGATACCATAGTAACTATTTTATCAAACTGATATTTAAATGATCAGATTGGGTATATAATGAAGGAAACTTGGAATAAACTTTGGAACTTTTTAGCCCGTTTAATGGAATATTACGGAGCATCACTAACGTAGGCATATCTTACTCATTATCCTAACGAAATGTCATTATAAATTTCAAAAGTCGGAGGATAAATAGTGTTTTTAAGTGTTATTTTGGCACATGTTACCGGACTTCAAATTAGCAAACCAAAAGAGAGAGGACTAAAAGCATAAGTCACAAAATAAAGATAATGTAATCAGTACAAAACTAAAAAGGGAACCAAGGACAAAATGGAATCGAGAAGTTCAGGTAAGGAATAAAGCTATATCCGATACTTGAAGAGCTATATACAATGAGTGCCCTTGTATCGTTGTAACTGTTTTTAAGCCACATAAGCAATAATATTAAGTCATTAATTACGATGATCAAGTACATTTTCCAACCAAGTTAATATTCTCTGACTTCATGAACTGATATAGTGTTTTGGTCTGGTCACTTTAAGCCTTTTTCTAACCTAATTATATGTCAGCCAGTTTATGAAGCAGGGGTATAGCGTAAATGGTAATGCATTATACATGAGCAAGGGACTACGTTGAATTCACGATTAAATGCTTAAAATCTACACGCAAACTCCATTCATAGAAAAAATTATTTTTATTTAGCGTTTAAGTTTATGTCGAGATCACAATAGTTTATTTTATATGGCATAGCCTGTTACTATCCAGTTTTGTCCTTAAGTAAATAGTTTACACTAAATAATCATAAAAACAGTACGTGTTAATTCAGCAGGAGTTATTACATTATGTTATTAATTCATTTACTTGTACTTTAAAGTGGTATTATTATTAACTGTATTTGGTTATAGTTGTACTATTTTATTCTGAAATCGTGTAAAGTTTCTATTCGAAGTTATTTTCACAGCACAAACTGAAGAAGTAATATTGTTAACTTTATTATTAAATAAAATTAATGCTTAATGTAAGTTATATGACATATATGTTCGATTTTAAGTATTTCAGTTCCACAGCATATCAGTTGTGACCAGAGTAGCTCAGTTGTAACATCTCAGACTGTCAAGCTAATTGACTTGATATCAGATCTTGCAGATAGAGCCAGTTCACTAAAGATTAAAGCTATACTTACCGGACGAGTACTAACTAGCACGAAACGTACGTCCAAAGATTTTCATCGACTGACTCCTAACACCTAAAATTAGATTCTAACTATCTAGTGTTGTATCCATTAATTTAGTTTGAGTCTGATATTTTTCTGTTCTGAACTCATGTCTGGCTTTTAAAAAGCAGTACCATGCAACCACTATGTAATTTTATATATACCTAGGTTAGGTTATGTATCGACTTTTCTAGAATGTTCGGGATTATTCTCAGGAAAAGTGAAACTTTAAGGCCGGACATGAAAAATGATTGCGTTAATCAAAATGTTTTATGATTTGAGATTGTCATGAATTTTATCGACGTTAATGTAATGGCTTTTTCATTTCTTGAAGAATCGGTAATAAAGGATTTTGCATGCATATTAAAATATATTTTTATCTTTCTCAATGCTATTTTAAATTGGATGGTTTCTATTCTATTTCTAATACATGTCTATTTGCCGAGAACTTCTTGATACCGAGACCTTTGATTAGTAATCCTTTAGTTTCATATTAAAACGAAAACTGATTCATATGACAATAGTTATAAGTGTAGTAATATTAATAATGATCACATACCTTACAACAAAAAAATAGCCCAAAGTTCCCCAGAATCCAAGCAATGAATAATAAAGAGAGAGTAACTTTACGCAAAATCCCATGACGTACAGAAAATCCTTAGACGAATTAAATAAAGAAAATCTAAAAATGATCTTGAAAATGTAATTATCAAGCAATGTAAGTTACAGCGAAGTACAGAAAAATACAATTATGTTATTTGAGTAGAAGCCCATTAAGTAATAATTTTAATGGATGTTAATTTAATATTTAGTACTCTACAACAGTTTTCTAATGTTTAAACTTTGAATGATATCTTAAATGTTTGAGTTACTTCGTTATACATTTAGTCATGAATTGAAAGATTCTACCTTGGGCACGCAATAGGTTTAATAATCAAACTTTATATCGAAAGGAGTTTATCGCATTTATCATCGGTCCACAAGGAAATATATTCCCATTGTTTCATCTCCTGAGTTGATTTATTGTAACTGTAAACATGGGGAATGTAATAAGATATACATGCATATTCAGGGAACGATCAACTAACCCGAGAATCACATTTGTTATTTCAAAGGAAACTAAATTTCTTATATCTTCGCAGTAACGTGGGTGAGACAGACCCTAGAAATATGGCTACGGGTTTGATAATGACATTATCGTACGATTAATTTCTAGTTTATTCTAATAAGAAATGGTAAGAAAGTTTTTCAAGTTATTTCTTTTGAGTGTTTTGTGTGTGGGCTTGGCACTTCAGTTGCAAGCTAACTAAACAACTAACTCAGGTTATATATGGTTTTTGTAAAATACTTTTAGTTGATTCATGTAATGATCAATGTTCAGTGTTATTCTGTCACTGATTTCAGTCTTTCATAATAGTTGCAAATAGAACTCAGAAAAAATTACTAAGCAAAGAAACGAGTAAAAAGTGATTCCTATTAATAGTTAAAATCTAGTAACTTCCAGCGAGGGTCACATAATTCGTTTCCAAGTAGCGTTAAAAATATGAGGTTGTTTGATATTCTGTTAAGATTGAACCTATTTATCATTTATGAACATGGTTTAGTATATAGGATTTTGCTTATTGTAATCGTTTTTTGTGTTCATGCTTAATTAAAAAGCATAAAATAATTAACAATAAACGAAATAAAGCAGTTTTCATGAAGTCAAGAGATAAAACTTTATTTGGCTGACCTAATATTTTTTTGTTTCTTGAACGTAAAGCGTAGTTAATCTGACTTTTGTTTGATCTGAAGTGCACATTATAATCGTGCAGTCAGAACATATTGTGATTTTCTTTTGACAGGTATATTACGTCATTTGGGCATGCCTACTGAGCCCTAAGACCGTAAATTTTAGAATGCCTAGGTTGTCAATTCGTCTACCATTGAATGCAAGAATCTACTGACATTTGGTAATTGAGTGGTGGACAATTACATGTATGTCGTACATTGTAAATTTGCTTACCTCTATTCTTTTGTGAATCCACATATGACGGAAGGACATGATTTGGAAATAAACAGGAAATAATAGAGGGGGACCAACTGAAAGAAAAGAATCATCTGTTAGTCTTCCTTCATATGCTATAATTTGACAGCATTCTTTAATACAAGATTCATACTAAAAGACCTATTTTCTAGTGATTCAGTACAGTGATGTTGAATGTCTAAAGTCCATATGAGGGAAGAAAAATGACATGTAATTGATTTGTAGAGTGATAGATTCTCTAGCAAATCTAATTGAACCCATGCTGATAGTGTTTTACAGTTTGTACAGTGTGGTGTTATTTCTGGAAGTTTTTGTACGGAAAATCAAATACTTAGTTGATATGTTTTTACTAGATTTGGTGAGCGAATCTATTAGACTACAATTTCTCAAAGTGATTTCATTGGTTATAGTCTACTTTTCTAGAATTTAATATTCATTCCCTTACGATTTATCATTTTACTTTCCGTCATGTTAAGTACATTTTCTTAATACTAATTGTTCATGAGACTATAAAAATCAAAATCCTATATATATAACATGAAGAAAATTGTTGTTTTTATAGACGATTGAGTCTTCATACATCTTTTTTTCGGTAAATGTAATTGGTATGTAGCCACAAACAGTTAACAACCTTTGATATTTATTTTAGTTAGTTAAGTATTTGAAGTGGTTTTGAATAAGCTTTTTGTTATGTATGCAATAGAAATTAGAAATGATGAATAGAATTTTGAGAAAAAGCTTTCCGAACATAAAGGGTGATTTTATTAATTTAATAGATTTGAAGCATTTAGTCTCTTCGATAAATTTAGATAATGTAATAAGAAGACGAAGATTATCAGAACTATGTGGTATATTAGCGCAATACACTTTGAACAACCTGACCACACATATACTAATTAAGAACATTTATGTACAAAAACAGATTTGCTAAACTTATTCCTGATCGCTGCTTTCTCATCTAAAATCTTGTAAGATCAAATTCATGAATATGAATGTTAATCTGTGAAGTTTGGTATATGTACCAAAATAAAGTTCTTACCCTAAAGTAGTGTAATAATTTGAAATGTTGCGGCTACAAATTTAATAAATAGTAATATTAATCAACACTACGATGTAAAGGACAAAAAGATCTATTCGATAAACGTATTCTGATGGTCGAGAAATATCTGATTCTAATATGTTTGGAAATTAAGGAATGATAATGTAACTTTTAAACTTTAGTCCCACTAAATTAACAATATTTGAATAATACACTAAATCTTATTACTAAGTAGAAACGGTTTTATAATCGAACAAAATATTAAAGAACTGTAGGTGTCTAGTTAGAATTAAGTTACATATTAGACAAATTGTACATGCTATTGAACTTTACATGGTCAGTCGGAGTTTACAAAAACTGTTGACCTAGATTCAACTATCTTATACTCCAGAGTAAATGTTTAATTATTGATTGTCGTATAAACAAATAGTTTAGTGTGGTCAAACTGTTGGATTTGTTTCCCGAAGACAAATTCATTAGTAAAATAATGACTTTTATTAGTACTAAATTTTCGTCTATATAATATTAAAATTAAGTGCCAAGAGTACAAAGCAAAATATTTTAATGAAAACAGAATGCTGTAACCACTGTTAGATGTATTATGAAGACCAACCACGCAACGTGATAAGGACAGTTTACCATAGTGAACATAAAAGTTAAAATGAGTGCCCTAAGATTTCTTGGTGTCACTCATTTTTTAATTACCAATTGATAATACATTTATGGGAAACGAGGTGTGTGATGTTCATTTTGGAAAGGCATATTATATGACTAATAACAGCACGATAATCCTTGTTTATAACCGAATAGAATTGTCTTGGATACATTTATTTCGAATAAATCCTTCAATTTAATTCAGTCTTGTATTGCGTCGCCTTAATGGCTATGAGTTTTGCTAATAAACAACAACCAGTCGTTTAAGGCCGTGAGAATTTCCTGAAATTTTATCTTGTCCAAATTTAGTTCAGGTCTCTCACTTAATTGGTGTTAACCTTTACACTTTAGTCAATGCCCAGAAAAGATCAGTAGATATACAGAACTACCTTAAAAAACAACTCCCTAGTCAGATATGTTTAACCTTCGGGACTAAGGTAATCAAATTAATCTGCTGAATATTTCAGGAATAGCTAATTAGAGAGAATCCTCTTTAATTACTTCACTGATAATTATGATCGTGCTAACCAATAATATTAAGGAGGAAACAACAATTTATGCTATAAGTGTAAAAAGATGAATGTTATTTAGATTGTGTTTACTGAGGTTCAAAACCCATGGAGAAATGAAGAAATGAAGTTGTTCATTGTCATATACTCACACACTGTTAGGGTAGCGAAATTCTCTGAAGAAGTATTCATATATTATATGCCTTCACATAAACAGTGCTCTTTGTGTACCCATGAAGATCACTTATATAAGAGATGATGTAGATTTCTGCATGATATTCTTACAGGAACAAATGAAAACATAAACTATGATTTTAGAAGCATCGATTTGTATAGACTTCGTTTTTACTCAAAATATTGTTGAGCAATTATTCAAATAAATTTAATTAGATTTTGAAAGAGTTATACGCATAATGCCTGTTTATGTGAGTCTAGAGGTCATACTTTTTAGAACAGTAATGCGCTATTCACACTCACAGTTATGCTTGTGGAAATATTATCATATAGTGTCTGGGCGGCAAGAGTCAGAGAATAGCCTCTAAGGCTTGCTCGATAAATTATCTCGTAAATTGTGAACGTTCGTTGTCATCTGAGGTGAGAAATAACTTAGTAATTAGTTAAGTTTAGAAATTCCTTATCAACATTATTTCGGAGCTTTCTTGAATGGCTTACACTATGTGAGACACAAATCGATACAAACCGTTTGATGGCTTATTTGGATATGAGTGAAGCTTCATATTTATAGTCCTTTAATATTAGTATGAAGTTTTTCCATTTAAAGGTTGACATTCCTTAGCTGAAAAAAAGTATTGGGTTAATCCCTCCTCCAATGATAATGGATGAGATCTAGAAAAAGAAAGAGATGGTCATGATGGTTGGTTGTGTACACTAAGGGATTGTAAACTGTTAATAACAGAGACATGAACATGATCTTGGTAGTCAATGTAGACAGATAGATTTATGCCCCACCTATCATTCTGTGATAAAAGAGGGTTAGGTTGTACATTTTGAAGTGTAAATATTTGATTAATATAACTGCATCTAGGTCATAGACTGGATTGGTTTTCTCAGGTATATCTTTCTCGAGCTCTGCTTAAGAAATGAATGATTATGTTTGTGTGTTTCGCAACAATAATCTTATTCTTTTTTGTAGACTTGGACGACCAACAAACGAAATCGGTCAAACGAGGTTACGTCGGGCTCTCAGATTCTGGCTAGTACCTCGATCAAATTAACTAATAACGGCAGACCACAGCTCTTAATGACTTCTGAAATCAAATTATCATGTCTTGTTCTCCCCATCTTTAAGAGCTAGATGACTTGTGCATAAATTTTATTCAATTTATTTGGGAGGGAAAGGTAGTTGAAGAGTAGCTGTATATCGGATAAATCGCAACTTAAACTATTTAGTCTGTTGATTCAATCTCGTGGATAGAGACTAGGTCAGCTTTCCACTTCACTCTGAACGTCTCAGCAACAACTGAATTCTTAATACTTGTTTTTCTAATTATTCTAAACAGTAATCTAGTGTTATCTATCGCCGTTGGTTTTTCTACTGTTATAACTCTCAAAACCGTACTCATTATAAAACAAATACAAATCCAGATTGTTATCGTTCATGTAAGTAACAACTCAGACTTAGCCTAATTGAGTAATCTACTTCATACAAAATAAGTCAATTTATAGTGTCATTTTTCAACAAATGCTTTAAATCGGTGACTCAAACACCTATGCTGTCGAAAGCATTTTAATTTGTTTGTGGAAAAATCAATAAAACTAGGCTAGACAGTTATATCTAACCTTTTTTTAAACAAAATTAATGTGGACTGCTTAGCTTCAGTGCAAGTAAATTTAAAAATAAATTTACTAATCCTGGAGATTAATGAAAACCATAAGATCTATGTGAAGATTGTAAATGTTTAGAAACATACTCTTTCATCAACATTTTGAATATGTATGATCAAATTATTTGAATTCTGTATCAGGAAAATGAATTGTTAAATTCTATACGTGTAATGATATATATAGTGACGATGAATAGGAGCTATATAATTTCTTTCAAAGTATACAGAAATCCAGTACTCGGGTCCAGGGTGTTTCTATGGTGTTTGCTTCTGATACCACACCTGAATGTATGAATAATTCCATATATTAATTTTTAAAGTTACTGAGGTGTAATAGACATAAAACCCTTATATTTAAATTTAAATTTTGGTATTGTTGGCATATTCAGAAAAATATCCCAAAAATTATTCTGTTAAATCTAACGCTATCCATGGACTTGAGATGGTGTCATTTCCTCATTGGTCAATGTTTATTTCACGTATCACTTGCCTACTGGTCAATATTGTACAATGTTATTTTCTATTTTATGGTACGATGTGGTCTGCTTGACTGGTATATAAACAAAGCATGTTTGAAATATAACGATTCATCTCCCCGAGGCTGAGACTTGTGTTCCGGACCCAACTGGCTGGGCTAGGCAGGGGAGCGGGACTAATCAGAACCCTAGGCCGTTCTTACGTGTTTGCGCGTCTTTGGTCCGATCGATAATTCGCTGTCCTCTAATCGGCTGCCGTCACAGTTATAGCAGGTATCGATAATTCAGAATAGCTGTTAAGCTTGCCTAAATAATGGTACTCATTAATGTGCTTTTCAGGTAGATAGAAAGCTGAGGAGGAACTAATCACTTAATTGTACTGTGGTATTTTCAGTGGACATAAAATGTTACACTTACAAGCTCTGAACTCGGTTCGTATTCAGGTTATTGTATGGTTAACTATTCATATTATTCAGTTATCATTAATTTACATTCTAGGGTCAACAAGTGTTTATCTGTTCGTTGTATTTTAGCCCATCTCCTTAATTGGTATAAACTGGTTAAGAAGTAAGTCATATATTGGGTGAAACGCAAAAGAATTTTCAAGTGCAAATAATTTTCAGGAGATAAAGCAATAATGTATTGGGAATTATTTTTAGATAAACTAAATGTCATGTCAGTATAAACAGGAGATAACATAGAAAGCACTGCTAAGTTAAGATCTATTTGTCTTCGTTCAGTTGTGTAAATTAGGATTTTATAAATCATATATTCTGTCGAAAGAAATTCCTTTAAAAATAATTAGTCTGATAATTGCCACGAATTATTTGTCATATATTTAGATTAAACTAAATTTCTAGCGTAATCTCTTTAATGAGGGACTAAATATCCTCCTAGAATTTAAATAACGGGTCAAATCAATTAGCGATTATTAGTAGAATTGGTAAGAATGTAGAATGAATTTATCGATATCAGTTGAATATTTATGGAATAATTAATGACTTACTTAGGAAAAAATATTTATGCTGGTGTTCATAAGGAAAATGCCACGTCCATTTACTTTCAGGACTAGCTGCTCTTCTAAGCACGTTATCACCAACAACAAAAATTGGTTCTAGTCGGGTATCTGGATCTTTATCAATCTGTATTTAGATTGGTGATAGAACAAAATTTGTGAGAAATAGTAAAACTGTAAATTTACCTGATGAAAGTATTCTCGTAAGTTGAACTTTTAAAACAAAAGTAGCTATCAAGTATATTTAAATACTCAGGACAAAATAGAATATACAATAATTTACTGAAAAAATCATCTGTTTGGTATTTTGCAATTTAATTCAATTTATTATTATATTCGATTTTGATGATACATAATCAAACATGGACTACCTGAGATCAAATCATCAATTATTTATGCATTTATTGTGAATTAACGACATGGTTTACACTCAATAGACAATAAATTTTCATTACATTCAGGGACACTGTAAAAGTCAGCTAAAGTTGTAGTAATTTCTGTGACAAAATATAACTTACCACGTTCGGTTTAGCATGATGTTGAGAATGCATGTGATTCCACCAATGGCAAGAAGCTCCCTTAGTTAAACCAAGGATAATTTCATGGAAAATATGATTTATTCGCGTACTCTCAAATACCGATAGATGTCCTAAGTCGTGTTGCAGCCAACTTGCTTGACCCTGAAGAAAAAGTAATATATTGTCCGTTTTAATGACTTTTTCAAAGATTTTATGAGTGAAAGCACCTTCGAGTGAAAAAGTGTACCAAGACCATAAAATCCCAATGGAAGCTTACTGGCTGAACTGTGCGTATGTAAATTGAAAAATATGATTACAATTAAGATTAGAAATAATTATTCTGTAATTATATGTTCAGCTGGGAGGATCAGTCAAATAGTTACGGAAATGAGGAGGTACAACTTGGTGGTGCTCGGAATCAGTGAAACTGATTGGGCCCAAGCTGGACAGAGAAGGATAGATACAGGAGAGATCCTTCTGTACTCTGGTCACGAAGAAGAAAATGCTCCACACACTCAGGGAGTTGCTCTAACTCTTTCAGAAGAAGCACGTAAAGTAGTTATATGATGAGAATCTCATGGATCCGCAATCATTAATGCATCCTTCACAACAAAGAACGAGAGAATCACAATGAATAATATCCAATGTCATGCACCCACCAGTGATAGCAGTCACGACGACAAAGATCAGTTTTACGAGAGGTTTCAATCGATCATAGCGAAGCGCTCAGGAAAGGACCTGACCTGATGAGAATGGACAACACCAGGTGTGAAGATCACATGGGACGACATGAACTGTTTGTGGGAAAGGGACGAAAATAATGACAGATTGTTAAGTTTGTGTGCATTCAACAAAATGGTTCAAGGTGGCAAAACATTCCCCCACAAACGCATACACAAAGCTATGTGGGTCTCACCGAATCACACAACACAGAGAATCAGATTGATCATATTTTCATCAATGAAAATTTCAGAAGGTCAATGGGAGACGTGAGAACCAGGAGAGTTTTTGACATAGCTTCACATCATCACCAACTGGTAGTTGCCAAGATCAAACTGAAGCTAAAGAAACAGTGGACAACTGGACAGATAGTATTACAAAGGTTCAATATAGCCTCCCTTTGAGATACTAACAAACTCAATGAATGGAAGATACCTCTAAGCAAAAGGTTCCAAACCTTACAAGATCTACTCACAGAATCAGAGACTACTATGTGGAACAACTGAAAAGGGTTTAATGAAACATTGACTTCAAAATGTCATTAGCTGCTAGGCTTTAATAAGCATCATCATAAACAATGGATCTCCATCGAAAACCTGGTCAGGATTCAAGATAAGAAGAACAAGAAGACAGCAATTAACAACAGCCCAACAGGAGCAGAGAAAGTCAAGGCACAAGCTAAATGCACAGAAGCAAACAAGAGAGTGAAGAAGAGCATTAGAGACGACAAGCGAAAATACGTGGAAGAGCTAACAGCAACAGAGGAAGAAGCTTCAAGAGAAGGAAATATGAAAAAACCATATGACGCGGCGAATAAACTGGAAGGGGAAATATAGTAAACCAAAGAGACCAGTCAAGGACAAAGAAGACAAGCCAGCCACTGAAATTCAAGGACAGAGGAACATGTGGGTAGAACACTTTGAAGAGCTTTTGAATAGACCAGCCCCAATGAACCTACCAGCTATCTCAACAGCACCCACAGACCTTCCCACAACAGTTTTCCCTACAACGATCGAAGAAATTAGGATGGTCATCATAAAAATCAAGAGTGGGAAGGCAGCAGGACCTGAAAATATACCAGCCGAAGCACTGAAGTCAAACATAGAAGCAACTGTAAGCATGCTCTACGTTCTATTCACGAAGATTCGGGATGAAGGGCAAGTTATATAAACAGACTGGAAAGAAGGATACCTCATCAAGATTCCAAAGAAAGGAGATCTGAGCAAATGTGAGCACTACATAGGCATTACGCCACTATCGGTACGAGGGAAAGTTTTCAGCAGAGTGTTGCTGAACCGGATGAAAGATCAACTGACCGGATTCCGTAAGGGTCAGTCGCGCACAGACCAAATCGTAACACTGCGGATCATCGTTGAACAATCAGTTGAGTGAAAATCGTCACTATCCATCAACTTCATTGACTATGAGGAGGCGTTTGATAGTGTGGACAAGAGAACATTATGGAAACTTCTTCGACACTATGGAGTTCCTCAGAAGATTGTCAACATTATGCAGAACTCATACGGCGGACTACAGTGGAAAGGCGTGCAATGGGGGACAGCTGACAGATGCATTCCAAGTAAGGACCGGGGTTAGATAAGGCTACTTACTCTTTCGTTCCCTCCCTCTCTCCCTCGCCTTTCTCCTTCTTCTGGTGGCTGACTGGATTGTGAAGACCTCTACGTCTGAGGCGAAGCACGAAATTCAATGCATAGTTTGGATGCAACTAGATGATTTGGAATTGCCAGATGACCTGTCCCTTCTATCCCATACACGTCAACAAATGTAAGTCAAAACAGCCAATGTAGCAGAAGCCTCTGCATCAGTGGGCCTCAACATACAGAAGGGAAAAACCAAGATCATTAAATGCAACTTGAGGAACACCAATACGATCACATTTAATGGAGAAACTTTAGAAGAGGTGGAAACTTTCGAGTATCTGGGTAGCACCACCGATGAACAAGAAGGATCTGATGCAGATGTGAATGCAAGGATCGGCAAAGCAAGGATAGCATTCCTACAGTTGAAGAACATTTGGAACTCAAAACAACTGTCTGCAAGCCATAATCAAAGTCACAATCTTCAATACGAACGTCAAGGCAGTTCTACTGTATGGGGCTGAAACTTGAAGAACTGCCACAACCATCATCAAAAAAGTGCAATTATTTGTAAACAATCGTTTGCGAAAGATCATGAATGTCCGTTGTCCGGATATCATCAGCAACAGCCTACTATGTGAGAGAACAAACTAGGTTCATATGAAGAGGAAATTAGGAAAAGACGTTGGAGATGGATCAGATACATATTGAGGAAATCGTCAAACTGCATCACGAGGCAAGCGCTTACTTGGAATCCCGGATGAAAACGAAAAGAGGAAGGTCAAAGAACACACTACGTCAAGAATTGGAATCAGACATCAAAAGGATGAAATAATAAGTGAAAACAACTGGGAAGGGAGTTAGATAAGGAATGTTGGTGGGCGTCCTATGCTCCTCGACAAGAGGCAACAGGCGTAAGTATCTATCAATGGTTTTTGTTTTCAAAGACTATGATTCCTATATTTAGAGCTGCCACAATCTCCAGACAGTAGATGGCGAATTTAACTTAGTAATGTTGCTTTACCTAGGATTAGTCAAATAACCCAAACGATAGGAATGATTTTATGTTTGAGAATGTTGAAAAATATTGACATATACAATAAATAGGTGTTCACAAGGAAGCAATTTTTATTTAACTTGGTTAGATTGAACTTAGTGCCTAGATAAGTAGTTAGAATGATTTGTATCATCAGTTTTTTCAAAACAATATTCGAACAATATATTTATTTTGGACTTTATTGCACTGTGACCTTCTGATGATGATTATCTAGTTTATATTACATCTTTAGCCAGTAAGAACAATTGTTCGATTAGGACGAACTGGGAAATCAAAACTACGGAAATGTAAGCCACTTCGACTGGTAACTCAAAATTGGATCATAAATCTGGGCCATTCATTTTTCAGCATGGTATATCGTTTTTTCTATTGTTTTACAAACACGTTTGTAATGGTTATCAATGGTCACTTAATCAAAAATCTTGTTTTCAAGCATGGCCAGGAAGAATAAAACAGAACTTCGGTACGTGAATGAAATCAGCTCAGTATTTTTACAAGTCGTGTATACAAGTTGTCTTTAAAGCTTTGAACCACGATATCGAAGCCTTTATTTTATTGCTGCAATGTTTGTGACCTGAATTTGGAACTATTTCGTAAGTTGCACAATCAGAAATGCTTTATGGAACACGGTATTTAGTCAAAATTTACGTCTTAGCTTTTTATAAAATCTTCCAGGGTGTCAACCCAGAATGCATGTTTTAACAACCACCTATGTTTTGCATGTGTATTGAAATCAAGACAATTCATTTCAAATGGTAATAGTTACGCATTCTATAAATGATTGTATACACAATGAATACATGAAGCAGCCTGCTTAAAATTACAACTAGTTAGAATCATATTTTTAAACTTCATTCGTGTTTCTTCTCGTTTTCGAAGGGTGGATATTAAAGTCAACATAACCCAGGAGTATGCTGTTATTTTTAATACAATACCATAAACGTATTACGTGAAAAATTTATTCACATTAACTCTAACGCAGATAATGTCTTGTGATATACTAATATGAATAACAATTTCAAAGATAAATCAATTATTAGGTAAACATTATGATCTATTGTGTCTTGATATTAAATTACGAAAATCAGCGTGAATGAAAACGTTTCATTTGTAGGTTAAAAAATTATAAATAATTCCCAAAATAATTTATAAATCATGAATCATTTATATTTGATGTGTGCTATTTTTTCAACTGGAATAAACTTGACTACTTGCTTACTCGGCCTTCATTGAAATTTTTACACTTTTACTACATACAATCTTTCAATGAAGTTATGCTTGTTGACTAGGCCTGCTCAGTCTCCTGGTTATATATTTCTCTGTGAACAGTCGCCACCAAAGTTGTCATCGGCATCTGAAGACATACATTGTTCTAATTTATACTATGGGAGTTTTTAACATTATATCAGTCTAATGCTGTGACTTTATGACCTAATCCACTACTGAATTTCGATTTCCTGGTATATGTAATTATCACTTTCACAGAGGAATCAATGGAGAGCGGATGTATTCATTAAATGGTGACTTTTATAAAATGAGATTTGCATGATCTAAAGATTATGAACTACAACAGAATTTAAAGATTCACTTCTTATTTCGATAATTGATCATACAATTAGAGAAATGTCTTATTTTGAGTAGGGATTTTTAATCTAACGAAAAGCCATGAAAGTCTTTGGCTATATGAGGTGGAATTTTGATGATATATTTAAGAAAAAGACAGTAATATATAAGTTTATGAACATTAGACATATGGAAACAAAAGTTTAGAGAATAGGTCCAACAGAATTGGTAGACAGTTTAGGTTTTGACTCTCTTTCAGCCATGAATTTAGATGTGATAATTATTCGCAATCGGGAGTACTTGACTTCTGTTCATTTAAGTTTATTTAACTAAAAGGTAAGGGACTTAAATATCTTTTAGAAAATAAGTTGTCTTCATGTTGGCTAAAGTTATTATTACTACTATCAGTATGTAAGGGAATTTAGAAGCTTACAAGGAAAATTTGTTTAGTGAAGATAGACGTGATAAGAACAAAACTCAGAGAGTAAGGAGGCATCTTAAGAGCCGAAATAAACTGATATTATACAGTATTACCTCATCAAGGCACAAAAGATACGTTTCACATCTGAGTTGAGGTGGCTAAAAAAAAGGTAGACTTGTAGCTACATGACAGGGAATGAATGAGTTATTTTTAGGTTCCAAAGACTGTTTATGGTATTTCTGGCTTCAAAAAATCACCACAATACGAAAATGGTCTTTTTACAAGTTAAAGCCAACAGTCCAACTTGAGAAACAAGTTACTGTTTTTAATTTTTTAATCACCATTTTTATGTGAAATCGATTTTATTAGCAAATACCTTTTATTGGTAAGCATACTAAAAATATAATTACAGTGAATGGACAAGGATCATTTTAAAAGGTGACATTAAGTACGTTGTTTAATATTGATGGGTTTTTCATTCGTTAAAAATCCGTGCGCAAATGTGAAGTTTCATGAGACTCACATATCTCGAAAATGCGAGTGGTATTTGCTTGTTTATTAAAAAATTCGAGTACTAGGGAATAAGTTTAAACAAAATTGTAAAAGGGGAAGTAGTGTCAATTTTAAGACGATCATTAAGAAACTAAACTTTGACACTTTTGCCTCGGCAGTTATTATTATTTGGATTGTTTGTAGTATATAAATTTGTCCAAAACATTATCAAATATTCATATATTGAGTGATGCTAAGTCAATTTTTATGCTAACTCCATGTGAATGAAGTAATTTTCCCCCAAAAGCAGTCTGACAAGAGGTGTCTTTTAAAGAGAGTAGGAAACGCAAATAGCAATAACTTATTTTCACACAGTAAATTACCATCATTTAGTGTCTTATATTGAGACTTGTTACTTAATAGTCGGACCTGTATCATATACCTCACCAATTAAGCTTGATGCTTTGAAAATAGAAGTTTATTTATTCGCAGTTGGAAGTAAAATTTTGCAGTTTCGACTGCTTGTGAAACTGCTCTTAAAACAGCTCTCGAAATAGTATAATATTGTTCATGGTAACTAAAAGGCTCATTATATTTTGTTAATACCTGATATGGAGCTGAGGTGATCATATCAATTTAGACGCTTATATAAATATATGAACCGAGAGGTTAAATAGAGTTATTTCAAAAAGGTATAAACACGCTCACTTGAGATATTGAATACAGTATAACTGATAACATAATTCGCCACCAGCTGGTTCCAAAATATGCCAAGTTTAAATATGCCAGTAATTCGAGCACAAAAATTTGAAGCATCATTGTACCAAAGAAGAGTTTGCTACCATCAAATAGTCCCTAATATTGAGATTTTTATGCATAAAAGAAATAAAGCTAACCTAAATTCAGCAAAATATCAGTGTATAAATACAATTTCTAGTAGTAGTGAAAAGAAGCCCGGTTAAGTCGATTAAGTTTATACAAATTGCATTTGATAATTTCTTTGTTTACAGAGACAAAGCTACTTCAGTTTAAGACACAAGCGTACAAATTGTAGGTTGCTGAAAATGGGTTTGTCTACAAATTCACACCATCTAACGCCAAAGCTTTAGGATTTGGATGACTTAACACTTTAGAAACTATTGATGTATAAAGTGGTGTTAAGGGCTGAAATTAATGAAAAGATATACATACTTACTTATTCTCTCAAGAAGAAAAACATTAATTCGCGAAACTTTAGTGAAGTATTGATGAGTATGGTTTGCAAAATCAACTGACAGATGGAATGATAAATGATAGTCTTTTGAGAGCTGATATAGTTGGTTAATTCGAAAGGTTTGTTCCTAACACATCGTTAAATGGCATCATTTAACTAGTGTTAAAAAATTATTATCTGAAAAATAGATTGATCTCAAAGGTTTTCATATTAGCCTCATTATTTTTTAACATCTGTGAGAATAATTCCAGTTATTTATCAATTATGTCTTACTTAGCCGTATGAAAAGTTTAATGATTGAAATCTCCGTAATGTTTTTCAACACGAGGAGTCCTAAAAACGTCTTTATCTATCCCATCAAATTCTTCGTTCTCAGATAAAGCTATATATGAAAAACTTAGCATCTGTCAAGACTAAAATGTACTTAGACCAGGGATGTATGGAATGTTCGTGTTAATAAAATCTGATTGGCACTTAAAAGCCCAACTGGGAACCAATGATATTTTATTAAAAGAAACCTGAATACATGGTGAAATCTTTTAGGACAAGTGACGAAGTCCTTCGTACCTGCTACAAAAAGACGAAAATATGGTGAGTATAATGACGGATAGTCAATTAACTGGTGATCATATTTATCGGTTATCAAATAAAAGGCTCAAAATAACTTTCCGTATAATTTTTACCCAATAAGCTTTCACAGTACGCCGTGGATTTCAGATGGTGTTCTAATTACTTGCCATAATGTATTGTTTATATAAGCAACTCATTGGGTGGCAACAGAAAAAATGATGTTCGTGATATGGATAAATACAAAATAAAGTCACTAACAATACCTAAATTTTACCTGCTGAACTAGGATATTACGTACACCTTCTAGATCCTCGTGGTACTCCTTAATTTTGGAATTTATATCTTTGTCTTCTGGACAATCTTGGTCCAAATCTCCGACGTAGTATGCACTCAAAAACTTTTCAGCATACTGACGGTTTTTGTGAAATGCAATGAACGCACCCTACAAATTGAAGTGGTATTATTATATATTTAATTACTGTTGCGTCTTGACCGGCGTAGTGACCGATAACTTTGCGACCCCCCGGATGTCTATTCTGCCAACTTGACACGTCATAAACCTTGTTGTCAATAACAATCCAACGGTCTTTCAATGACTGATGCTTTTTTACTTCTCCCCAATTAATAAGACCCTTCGCCATCCGAAGTTCTCGAAAACCCAAAAATAGTATTGATACTACGCGGAATGCACAGTACACAATATTTTGTACAAATAAACACAGCAAACATTATTCAATTAACTTGTCAGATTATCCCCGAACATTTTTCTTTAGAGCACGTTTATTGACTTTGAGATATGATGAGAGGTAATAATTTGTTGGTCTCCAAGACACCTGATAAAAATTCCTGGTGGGTGAAGTTGTTAAGCTTTTAGTGCAGCAGATTTGGGGACTATCTTGTCATGATTTATGTTATAGCTCACAATCCTCTCCCTTCTATGACATCCTTTATAGAATAAAGTCCGAAAACACGATTAAGGAAGCATCCTGTTTTGAAAGAAAGTAAAAGAAATAGCATACAAATTCTCATCAACATTTTTCATGGTTGAAATCTGCAAGACGTAGGATTCGCTACCAACAATGGTAATGTCCTTTTCCACCGAATCTTTTAAAATTTCTTCGACATTTTCTTCAGTTCCTTAGGTACTGACTACTACCTCAGTAATTGGCTAAAGTGTGAAGGCAAGCTGAACAGTTAACTAAATATCACAGATGCCAGGAATGTGCAACGCGGACTTATTAATTGGCTTTCATACACAAGGGCTTGTATCAGCGTTTCAGCTTTATACTTACTTGTCCTTACCAATGTATGCTGTTGCCCGCGAAAAATATTTATTCTGGCGGATTCACCCGATTATCTGTAGAGTAATCCGGATAAGGCAATAATAACTTTGAAGTGCTCCTTCGACGTGGGCTAGAAGGTCACGCCATTCTCGTTATGCTGAAGTTGATCAACTACCGAAATAGACAGCTAACATTTGTGGAATACAAACGCATTGGCTATCAAGTTCCAAAAGGATAAACCTCCCTGTGAATAAGGACGCTCTGGCTTTGCCACTTCTGCATAGAAAGGAATTAAATTTAAGTTACGGGTTAACATTTAGGTGATGATCATTTGAGTTTTGTGCATCAATAGGTTTTAACAACAGCACTTGTGCTTCCTGTGCTTGCTAAATTACTTCCTCAGGAAATGTTGACTGAAAATCATCGCTGAAGTTCACGATATGAAAAGGATGTTTAATAAAATACATATAGATGTGACAGCAATTACTTCGAAGTTTTCTGTGTAGCATGCTCTTGGTTATTCAGGGTCGGCTGTAGACTGGAAAAATATGAAGTTTGGTTCTGTCAAATCCGTGTTTATACATTGACTCTCTCAATGAATCATCGAAGGGATCCAAAAATCATTAAGAAATCTGAAACAATTAGGTGAACAGTTCATAACGACTGAATATAAATGAATGTGAATTACCACAGATAGATATGTAGTTGTAAATAAATCCCCAGACTAAATAGTTCTGTTAGCCTTCAATATTTGATGCTGACCTCATTAGTTTTAATGCACACGTGTAACTGGAGGCGCTCGGTCACGCATCCACATCAACTCACGAGTGGGTACGACGTGCTACGAATCCCTTACAACAACTGGCCAGCTTAGATTAAACGTTACCCGATATGTCTGTAGCCTCCCAAACACATATTCAAACCTCTTCACTTCTGGCTTTTGATTTGACTGGCTTGGTATACTTCGATTGTAAAGGTGTTACGTGTAAGGGCGCTGTCAAACTTCGAATATCCATGGCATTTTTAAGATCTTGTTGATATCTCGATGAAATGACTGAGTTTCTTATTCGTGATGAAATGCTCAACAATGTTGAGCAGGCTTATTGGATAGAACAAAAATTGCAAATATAAGATATAAAGCAGCAGTTTCACTGTTTGCTTCGTTGACAGACAGATTTCACAGTAGTTTATGAGATTAAAAGTTGTCCTACAGAATTAAATAGACATGGATACTACTATATAGACTTCAGCATAGTGCCCAACTTTCATCACAAAATTTGACTTTGGGGCTTCCGAATATCCCAGTCTGCATATAACTAAGTTACACAAACCTGGTGAAGGTAATGGTTTATTCATCTTACACAGAAGTTGAAATTCTACTACAATGGAGTTGGAACATAAAGGTTGCGAATGTCCTGAAAAATATGCGGGCTCTTGTTAAACACTTTGAGCAATAATGCAAGAAATTTCAGGATTCTTCTGTTACTCTTATGTTAAGATATTGACTCATGACCGTTCCAAATCAAGGCTTGATGTGAAGATATTGAATGAACTAGATAAGCTCTTTGATAATCCCATTTATCTTGATATTCCCACCAAGTTCAGTAGAGTGGTTCTTGACCAAGTCTTGGGAGCTATTTATGGAGTTAAATGATTTTCACTGAAGTCCTCGATTTGCGGATTCTATAGGTTACAATAATTTAATATGAACTTATATTTAGAGAAAGTAACTAGAATATTGATGTAGGATCCTTTCTTTCAGCAGGTATTGTATTTTCTACTTTTTTCAGTGGTATTTACAAAAATTCGTTTCTCTCATATACCAAACACTGCCACGTGCTTGAAAGCGTATTAGGACTATACATGTACACATAGATAATTCAATTGTTAGTTACTTTTTACTGAGAACGGGAATTTTAATGCAATGTTTTTAAGGATTACGAGACGTGTTGTAAGGTCGGCGAAATATCGTAAAGCACCAAACAGACTATTCATCAGGTTAAATCTGTTAAACGTTAGAGCGCTGATGACTAGACGCTGAACTGTTCACAAAATATTGTCAAGGTCAAAGATAATTACTATCACTTGACTAAATCAGGGATATGTTCACCGTACATTATTCCGTTTACACTCTTTAGTTATCTAATATACGACTTCAAACCGGAAGAGTTGCTCCCGAATTATACGACGGAAGTAGGGTATACTGAAACCACGTCAGCGCACGTCAGAAAATATAGAATTTGCCGTGGTTTGCCTTTGACGTAGCATTACGTAGGTTAAGCGTTCACAGTACTATTACCAGTTCTAGTAGGCTAAACATTTGCACATCTTTTCACCCATTAATGACCCGAAAATTCGGTTTCCTGACCTATTTCTTTGAAATACTTATTTTAAAGTCAGAGGGTATTCGTGGGTTACTAGTGCATGGAATTAGATTTTTTGAAATCTTTCTATTACTGTAATGAACTAATACAGTAAATAATATTGAGGTTAGACGCAATATAGTGTGCGGAGACTGAGAATTTGTGGAGGGGAACTTATAGTGGTTAACCAACATCCACCTTAAAAAAACGACAGTTGACGGAATCATATAACAAGGTCACTAAAGAACTATAAGCCAAGGCGTGTTGTCAATCCATATTATGATTAGCCTCTCACCTGAACCACGGGTTTGAGGATATATGTGTTATGGTCCTTGATGTCTGGCCTTTCTACCACGCGAATTATCCACCAATCAGAATACGACTTATATGAATTTTCACTCTATGTCAACCAATGACGTTCAACCGGTGTGGGCAGTCTTGCTCCTGGTTGGTCCGAGGTCTCTCTAGCCCGTCTGCTTGACTCCAAATAAAACGCAATACCAGCTTCCGCAGTATGAATATAATGTATTTCAAACATACTCCGTTTATATACCAATCAGGCAGACCACAACGTACCATAAAATAGAAAATAACATGTGTACACAAATAAGCCAAAAAGTGGCTGTGAACGCGGGAGATAGTAATTAACAGACTGAACATAGATTATGAACCGTGAATCGTATAATAATAAATTATAGATCAAAATAAAGCTTATAATATGGGGAATATAAATACATGTAATGTAATTATTGAATAATTATACAATGAGAATACTTATAGAATATTAGTCTATTAACAGTCCTCGGAAGTAACCTGTAACTTAATCTTCACTGGGTTATAACACCTCTTTTTTTGAAGATCCCAAGTTTAGATTCTGATTTTTAGAAAATTGTGAAACTTTAAATTCTCCAACATTCTCCTCCTCCGCGAAATAATGTCGGATCCTTATGTCTCCAAATTACAATTAACAGGACCTTGTTTAGTCCGTTTTTCTCGCATTGGATGGAGATTCCACTAAAAATGACTAGATGATAATGAACGACCCTTGATTTGAGGTCAGAGTTTGGTTCTTCTGAAGCTTTACTTTCAAATTCATTATGAATGTCATTAGTAGATAATGAGTCATTAGGAAAATCAACGTCTAACAAAATTAAATTAGATTTTTGACCATCATTTGACTCAGCCGATATATTTTCTTTTTTATAAGAAATCTCATCAAAATTATGTGCATTGTTATTAGAACCCATATCTAGTACATTGTCATGAGAAATTAGATAATTTGGTTCAATATAAATTTTTGTCTCCCACTGACTTTGAGTAACATTCGGTACAATTGGGTTCATCGTGTTGCTCCAGTTATTTTCTGAATATGGGACCCCATAGATTTCTTGAGCAATTTCACGTGGACCAAAATTTTGTTCGAGCTGAAGTTTATTTTCAGAGCTAGACAGGGCCAGTAGTGTTTCATTGAATTCTGGACTCTGGGCTTCATCTACAGGATCTGGCTCCTGATCATCTGGTATTGTCACAACTTCATGTGCATTTAGCACAATATTGTCCTGCCGTGAGCCGGACAATTTACCAGTACTACGTTTTCCTTCTGGTATAAAGGGATTTGAACCCTCCGCAGGATATGCTTCTGTCAATTACTGCACCATAATCTGCATTATAAATAGATTTCTTATTTTCTGGTTGAGTGAAAAGTCTGCCCAAAACTGTTTCAAATAGTTGTTGTTGCAAGGCTAACATCTGCTGGTTTTGTTGTTGTTGAAAGGCTAACATCTGCTGGTGCTGCTGCTGTAATAATAACTGCAACTGTTCTAAAGAAATCGACATTTTTTTACTGCCAATAAATAATATTAACATTATCCACCCAGTCCGCACACTGTGCTTGCATAGGTTGAGGCAAGAGTCTCACTATTCTTTCCAAAGTAACTAAGGAATTTAGATCAGAAGTATAATCCATCTGTTCCAAGACCATAGCACAGTTTTCCATTTTAATAGCCAAGTTTGATAGTTGCTCCCCGTCAATATACTCAAAATTCACAGCACTG